GTGCAGCGTACAGTGACAGCATGCAGGTCGCCCGCAACGCTCCCAGTCCATACTGGGATGGCTCTAACCCATACTGGGATGACCCTAACCCATACTGGGATGACCCTAACCCATACTGGGCTGGCACCAGTTGCTCTCAGGGCCATTCCCAGTCCATCCCAGTCCATCCCAGTGACCCTGTCCCCACTGCAGTGTACAACGACAGCGTGCAGGCCGCCCGCAATGCTCCCAGTCCATACTGGGATGGCCTCAGTCCCTCTCAGGGCCATTCCCAGTCCATTCCCAGTCCATTCCCAGTCCATCCCAGTCCATCCCAGTGACCCTGTCCCTGGTGCAGCGTACAGTGACAGCATGCAGGCCGCCTGCAGCGCTCCCAGTCCATACTGGGATGGCCTTACCCATACTGGGATGACCCTAACCCATACTGGGATGGCTCTAACCCATACTGGGATGACTGTAACCCATACTGGGATGACCCTAACCCATACTGGGCTGGCACCAGTTGCTCTCAGGGCCATTCCCAGTCCATCCCAGTCCATCCCGGTCCGTCCCAGTCCGTCCCAGTCCATCCCAGTGACCCTGTCCCTGGTGCAGCGTACAACGACAGCGTGCAGGCCGCCCGCAATGCCGCGTGCGCGGCCGGGCGCTACAACGAGCAGCCCGACGACGCGGTGCCCAACTACCCCAAGCGCGCGTGCCGCTTCGAGCGCTCGCGCCTCGGGCCCTGCGCCGGCCTCGGCCCCCACGGCGACTACGGCTACGGCAGCGGCCGGCCCTGCGTGCTCGTCAAGGTCAACCGGGTGAGTGCCGACGCGGTGCCCAACTACCCCAAGCGCGCGTGCCGCTTCGAGCGCTCGCGCCTCGGGCCCTGCGCCGGCCTCGGCCCCCACGGCGACTACGGCTACGGCAGCGGCCGGCCCTGCGTGCTCGTCAAGGTCAACCGGGTGAGTGCGCCTACTGGGAGCACTGGGAGCACTGGGAGCACTGGGAGAGGGGCTGGGGGCGGGTAATGGGCCGTGTAATTGTGTTTAATGGGACTGGGAGGGACTGGGAGGGACTGGGAGGGACTGGGATGTTATACCGGTTCATACTGGACCCTACTGGTTCATACTGGACCCTACTGGACCCTACTGGTCCATACTGGTCTGTACTGGTTTATACTGGTTCATACTGGTCCATACTGGTCCGTACTGGTCCGTACTGGTTTATACTGGTTTATACTGGTCCATACTGGTCCATACTGGTCCGTACTGGTTTATATTGGTCTGTACTGGTCCCGCAGGTCATCAACTTCTTCCCGGGCAAGAACAAGAGCATCAACATCGTCTGCGCCGCCAAGGTGACGTCACTGTCCCCTCCCGGTGTCC